TCTGCCTCTCCCTCTCCTCCTCCTCATCTTCCTCCTCCTCCCCATCCTCGTCGTCCTCGTCATCCTCCTTTTCCTCCTCCCCCTCCCCCTCCCCCTCCCCTTCCCCCACCTCTTCTCCAACCTCCCTCTTCGCCTCCCACGGGAATTCAAACCCCAGCTTCGACGAATCTCCCAGGGCCCAGTCATCCTCGTTAAAGTCCATCCCGCCACAAGCACTAGCCACCGCGTGTGAATCCACACCAGCAGGCGCAGCAGCAGCAGCAGCACCAGCGCAAACGGCAGACGCGGCAGCAGCAGCAGTAGTAGTGGCAGCTGCAGCAGCGCCAGTGGCTGCAGTAGCACCAGCGTCGGCAGTAGCAGCAGCGGTAGCGGTAGCAGCAGCACCAGCTGCAGAAGCAGGACCGGAGTGGCAAGAGGAGGTGCTGATGGTGCCACGTGGCCTTCCACACACTTCACCCACAGACACAGGAGGCACGCCGAGACCCGATGGTTGACACATGGGGCGATGGGATTGGTGCGAATGGTGCAGGTGGTTGTGCTGCCGATGGGGGTTGGCATTGGCATTGGCATGGCCGAAACGGGTGCGTTTGTGCGATGAGTGAAGCGTCTGCTGCTCCTGCTCATACTGCTGACTGCCGCTGGTGGTCGTGGTCGTTGTGGTGGCAGCAGCGGCAGCAGTAACGTTGCCGTCTGCTTGTTTGCTCTCCCCGTACACATTGTTGCTCTTGCCCGCGTTGCCAGCAGCAACGCCATTGTTGTTCGTGGTCGTGGTTGTCGTGGCACATGGCCCTGACACACACACGCTCACAGCCTCTCCTCCTCCGCCTCTTCCCCCACCTCCTCCCCCTCTGCCTCCCACCCTACCAGCCTCTCCTTCTGAGCAAGTACCAGCAGCACCAGCAGTAGCAGCACAGCCAATGAGAGACGTGGACGCTCTAGGGCCACCAGACACGTCAACACAAGCAGCAGGTGCTGACTGTTCCACGGGTGCCCCACCAGAGGCGGTAGTCGCAGCAGCAGCGGTGCTGGCGCCAGCACCGGTAGCGGCAGGTGCGGAGGAGGCAGGAGTGGCAGGCAGGGCGAACACCACGTGGTTCTGCTGCCGCCGCCCACCCACACCAGCCGTCAGCGCTGCTGCTGTGCCCACTGCGGAGCTTGCCAGGTGCGCCGCCAGGTGCGCCTGGGGAAGGCAAAGACTGGCCGCACCGCCAGGAGCAGCAGCAGCGGCGGCGGCGGAAGCAGCGGCGGGGGGGGGTGGGATGGGGGGAGGGAGCGCGAGAGGGGAGGCGAGTCTTCTAGGAGTGAGGCCAGCGCAAGCAAGCGCAGGCGAGCACCCGGTGCTGCCGGCTCTGGTGGGGATTGATGGCGCAGGCGCGGACATAGCAGGCACGGGACGTGATGACGGTGCGGGACGTGCAGCAGCCGCCGCAGGTACCTCGGAAGTAACTCCGCTATCCACGCCACCAGCACCAGCGACACCACCACCAGCAGCTTTCGGAGCAGCACCAGAACCAGCCGCCGCTGCGCCATTTCCCCTTCCGCCACCCCCTGCTGCGTTGGCTTGTGCAGCAGCGCGCGCAGCTGCGCGGGCGTTGCCAGCCGCAGGGGCGGGGAGCGAGGTGCCTGTCGATAAGGCCGCCGCCGCCGTCGTCGCCGTCGCGCGCCCCGCGGAGCCATCACCTCCGCGGCCGCCGCCATGGGGCGCGGAGGGAAGGTGCGCGATGGCTTGCGCGGCGTGCATCAGCAGCCACTCCAGCGCTTCCGACGGGTGGTCCGCGCCGAGCCGATCCTGCACGTCGTAGAACGCGAGCGCCGCGGGGACGGACAGGCGCACGCGCCGGTCGCGGAGCCCCTTGGACGTCTGCACCTTGCTGTGGCGGTCGCGGTGCAGGGTCACCGCGGCGCCTCCTGCGGTAAGGTTGCCAACGCCTCCGCCTCCGCCGCCGCCATCGGACAAGGCGACAGCTAGCTCTCCGCCTCCGCTGGTCGTGGCGGCAGACGCTGTCGGACCCGCTCCGCCGCTCCTTCCGTGAGCTCCGCCGGCAGAGGATGCGGCGCGCGCATTTCCGCCGCTCTTTCCGGCGCCTTGGCGCGCACCGCCGCCTGCGCCTGATGCGCCGCGCGGCGAAGCTCCGCTGGCCGCCCAGCTGCGCGCGCGGCTCTCCGTCTTGAGGCGCTTGAGAGAAATCCCCGTCCCCACGCGTCGCACGGCTTCGCCGGCGGCCGCATGCGACATGGCGACGGCGCCACCGACGGCATTGGTCGCAGAGCCTGGAGAAGCTTTACCAGCGGCGGCGTGGTCGGCGGTCGGCGGCGAGCTTCTCGTAGTGCATGCGGCGCCGCCATCGGCTCCATCGACCACGTGGCGGCGCTTGCGGCAGGGGCTGCTACGTTCTGCGGCATCAGAAGCAGAGACAACAATCGAGGCTGCTGTTTCTGCTGTTGCGGCGGCGGCGGCGGCGACGACGGAATTGGACGTAGCGGCGAGAACCAGCGCCATGAGCGGCTTCCGAAGATCTTCCTTCAGACGTACGGAGCCGCAGCAACGGGCGGCAGGCCCCAGAATTCTTCTGAGCACAGTACGCGGCGTTCGCGTCGTCCGTGTGTGCGTCAGATGAGGCCCTCCGTTCCACAATAAAGATCACCTGAACAGTACACGCCAACGCAACCCCCACGCCCGTTGTGCTACTACTACTAGTTTAGTGGTAGTGGTACTTGTACTAGTGTTACCACTAGCTTCCACGTGGTTTCGTACGCCACGGCTCCGCGTGTTCCGCGCAGATTTCACCGCCTGCGGGCTCCCTGCGCCAACGAAGTTGCGCTAATATCGCGCGAGCCCCAACCGGACGGACGGCTGAGATCCCCCAAGCTGCTGAATTTCGCTTCTGCGGCTGCCACGCCTGTACCGCCGGTAACCTCTCCCGCTCTCAGGACCCGACTATTAACTTTCAGGTGGCTCCTCTTCCTCTCCGTCGCAGAAAAAACGCGGGTTGACGTGGCACAGTCTCCGCTCTAGGAACCAGGCGCCGCTGTCGCCGGGGTAACGGGAGATGAGCCAACGGCGGAGGCCCTGCAACATCTCCTTGCGGCGAAAACGAATTTAGCTGCTCGGAACGGCCGCAGCGATTTGAGTGGCGACGCTCTGCTAAGCGGTGGCCTGGCGATGGCGCGGAGGTAGCGATTGCGATTGCGAAACGCGTGATCACGGTGTTGACAAAGGCGTGAAATGGAAGTTGTTTGTAGTTAGAGCGACGAAAGCGGGAACATGGGATGGGAAGGATGGTACGGATGGCCACACTTGAAACTTCGAAGGGCGAGAAAGAGCGGAGAGCGGTTCCACAGGCTCGGCTGACGAAAGGAGGAACCAGCAAAGTGTTGGCCAAGAGCGATGGAAGGAGCGTGAGAGACGAGAAGAGCTGGCAGAAAATAAGGCTCAGAAGAGAGAATCGAGTGAGGTGTGCTGCGCGCAGTGAAAGATGGAGGACGGACAGCTCAACCGACTCGCACTGGCGCAGTGCGAGACACAACACAAGAGGATGTGGCAGCTTCCCCCAGACTAGATTCAGCAGCGGGCGATGGGCGCGTGGCAGGTTGGCGACAAACGTAACCTCGTTGGCTTTGATTGCTGAATGCATGAGGTGGTCTTCGTGTGTGCGAAGAAAGCAGCAGATTGGACAGGTGATTTCGCCACCGCATTGGGAAATTCGCGTGCGAGCTCGCATGCGCGAAAGTGAAGTTCGAGGAAAACAAGCTCCTTGATTTGGTTGTCTGTACACACTTCAAATGACACGTCTGCTGTACTTTCCTTGATTCTGCTCCTCAATTCTCCCTCCCTCCCTCACTGGCCTTGTCCAACTGCCGCCTTTCATGAGTGGCTGGGTGGCGTAAGCCCAATAAGGATCCTGACCAGCCCCACCTCCCCGAAATACACCGAATATTGACGGGAGTGAGATTAGGTACCCACAGTGAATAATATGAGCACCATATTACACGAGGAGTGGTCATTGACCGAGTTCCAGTCAAATATATCTTTCAAACCATTCTACCCCCCTCCCCACTCCCTCCCCCTCTCTCCTTGCTCCATTCAGGTCAAAAGTGGCGTTTCATTCACATCGGAATGCCAACAAAACAAAAAACTTCCAAGTCAAACGAGAAACGGGTTGGAAAAGTGCCCCAAAACGCCAACCCTGATGAGGGCTCTGCTCCCAGCGCAGGTGTCTTGTATGTCGAAATCTCTACAGCACCATTGGATACAGCTCGAATCGCTAACGTCGGTGTGGTCACTAGTTGTCCCCACTCAAACCAATGAAATCCTCCATTTTCCTCACACTGCGTGGATACCTCAGCAATTGCGAGGGATCCATGCAGCTTCTCAATATGCCACGTAATGGATGAGCTGTAGTGACGTGTCTCAAACGGACAATTGACGATTATTTCAACCATAGAAAGAAACAAACGTGGCGAAGTCACCATGATGTACTGTACCATCGCTATCCAGACTTCGGAGTCGCGGCCACATTGAAACCGCCCTCGTCTTCCAACCCATCACACCGTGACGCAGATAGTGACAGTTAGAGATCCATCCAATAATTCGACGCCTTTTGTGGTGTCTGCGTTACAAATTATTGTACCATCCTTGTTAGTGAAAATGGCTTAGGAAATCCTGGTCACATACATGCTTCACTTTCGGAATGGTATTATGCCTGACTTGTGACAAGCCCACTTCCCATTGTCCCTGCTTATATAAAATCCCCCCCAGGGTCATCACTATGGCATTGCTTGTTTGCATGTGTATTTTTTTGGCTAGGTTGGATTCTATTACAAATGGTAATGGATGTTATGTCTTCATCAGGAGGGGGGGGGTGCGGGGGGGGGAGGGGGGGGAGGAGGGGGTGCGGGGGGGAGGGGGGGGGGGTGCGGGGGGGAGGGGGGGAGGACCTGTTAGAAGCTAGTGGGTAGGAATGGTGTTCATTAGGTCAAAGGGGAGGGTACAAACCAAAGAGTCGAGAGAAATGTTGTACCCTCTAACAAGCACCTCACTATATGTTAACTAACAAACTAAGAATATGAACATAACTTTGACACATCCCCATAGCCGAAGTGAGGGACATCAAAACAACCAAGAGAAGTAAATGGTCACAAGACCAGTCTAGAGAAGAAAGCTAAACAAAGCTCAGGGTGGATCTCAAGATCACCACACATTCTAAGCACAAGCAAGCGGCCACAAGGCCAGTTCACATGCAGAGTTAATAAAAGCGAGTGCAGTACACTGATCACGACCTAGCAAGAGCAAACATGTAGGTATAATCATATATATCAGTGAACAACAAGTGCAAGGCAAGATCAAGAGACAAGCAAGTGAGGCAGAGTGGACACAAGTCCAAGAGCAGTGCAGAAACGCTGATGATCACTCACCTCAAGGGCCTTGGTGAAGACATCAGTAGTGTTTGCCTGTGTGGCGACGTAAGCAAGACGAAGCTGACCACGCTGTTGCAGCTCTCGCGTGAGGAAGTAACGGAGAGCAGTGTGCTTCATTCAGTGCTCCAGTCTCTGGTCCTGACACAAGGCAATCATGGCCTTGTTGTCGACGTACAGAACTGGAGGAGAACGAGGCCGCTCCCCCAAGTCGGTCAGCAGGTAGGTCAGCCAGCGTAGCTCCTGTGCAGCCATAGCCCCAGCGTAGATCTCGGCATCACAGGTGGAACTAAGTACGGAAGACGGGCGAGTGGACCTCCGTGAGACAGAACCAGTGCCGAGGCTGAAACTGTACCCCTGTGTCGACCGGTGAGTCGTCTGGTCGTCAGCCTAAGAAGCGTCTGAGTGACCGGTGAGAACAACTGGACCGGGTCCTCCAAGCACGAGCCCCATGCCCGACGTACTGCACAAGTAACGCAATACCCTCTTCGCAACTTCCCAGTGCACCTTTCGGTGTCTACCGGGAGCCACGTAGCGAGCCAGGAGGCTGAGAGGGTACGCGAGGTTAGGTCGTGTGCACGTCATCAGGTACATGAGGCAACCCACAAGCTCTGGATACAGACCACTCGGCTCTACGGACTCGTCCGAAGGTGGAGCTGAGAGCGAGTGGCGGGTAGACAGAGAATTGGGCTGTTGAGAGGACCACGAGAAGTCGAAGCGCTGAAGGACCTGCTGCACCATGTGTGACTAAGTGAGGGTGATGGTGCGGCGTGCTCTGTCCCGGGTGATCTGCAACCTCCGCAGCTCACCCAGGTCAGTGGAGGTGTGTCTCTCCTACAACTCCGCCTTCACTAAGGCCAAAGCCTTAGTGTCACCAGTGTAAAAAACCAAGTCGTCAACGTACACAAGAACGTAGAACGGCGGCAGAGAAGTGTCTCTGCGCAGAAACAGCAAAGGGTCAGAAGTCGAGGGAGCGAAGCCAAGAGCCGCAAGTCTAATCCTCAGTGTGTCGTGCCACTCACGGGGCGCCTGTCGTAGGCCGTAGACTGGTCGCCGAAGAATCCACTGGGTACCCTCAGGAAACGACCCAGTGAAGCCACGTGGGCGGCGCAACTAGATAGCATCGTGAAGGGTGCCCTGCAGGAAGGCTGTCGAGAAGTCGAGGGAGTGCAGCTTGTAGTCGCGCTGTGCTGCAACGTGAAGTAGCACCCGAAGAGTGGTCATATTTGGGGTGGGGGAGAAGGTCTGGAAGAAGTCGACCTCCTCACACTGACTGAAGCCTCGTGCAACGTAACGCGCCTTAAAGGCAGGCGGAGAAACCGGCGGCCGCTTCACCCTGAAAATCCACATGCCATCGACTATGTTCGCCCCAGGTGGGGAAACCTCGTCGACGTAGGTGCCTGTGGACTTCCAGGAAGCCATCTCTGCATCCATTGTCAGATATATATGCCTTAGCCTATGTAGGCTGTAGTGGGGTAGACACTAAGGGGTACAGCTTTCATATTTGTATCTCACACTTTCCTAGTTCATTCATTCCTGTTGTTCATTTCACATGGTATAGAGCGGGTTCCCACATGGGACCGTTCCTTCCTAAGGGCCCACCATAATTTATTTTTAGCTGCCCAACGCCCTGCCCTAAATTTTTTTTTTCGCAGCCCCTACGTGGCCCCTTTGTCGCCTCGCGCGCCCCTACGTGGCCCCTACACGGCCCCTAGCGCGCCCCTACCCGGCCCCTACGCGGCCCTTACGCGACCCCTAGCACGCCCCCTACCCGTCCCTGACGAGGCCCCTACGCGGCCCCTGACGCGGCCCCTACGCGACCCCTGGCGCGGCCCCTACGCGGCCCCTGACGCGGCTCCTACGCGCCCCCTACGCGGCCCCTGACGCGACCCTTACGCGGCCCCTGACGCGGCCCCTACGCGGCCCCTTACGCGGCCCCTACGCGGCCCCTACGCCACCCCTGCCGCGGCCCGACCCAGCCCCGTCCCTGACGCGGCCCCTACGCTGCCCCTGACGCGGCCCCTACATGGCCCCTGACGCGGCCCCTACGCGGCCCCTACGCGGCCCCTGACACGGCCCCTGACG